ATCATGTAATATAAGACAATATAAAATTTTTTTTCACATATATTTTTTAATATGTAAATAGATTCAATTGAATAGGTAATAATTCTTTATTATTATTAGTTCAGCCAATAAATGCTTGCTTAGTGTAGCCAAGTATGCTGCACAACTTGAACAATATGAAAAGGCAATTGACATCTATGAGCAAGTAAGTAGATACATTTATTTTTAAAAAAAATTATTATTTTTGAATATGATATTCTAATTTCAGCTTTGTTTTTGAAGTACAATTTTTAAGTAAAAACTTAAATATTAAAATTACAAAACTTGCAAAAAAAATTCTTGGAAAAAGGGCTACATCACATTTAATTTTAAAATAAATATTTCAAAGTACTATAAAAAAAATTCTTAATTGATGAAATAGTTCCACAAATGATGAAGCACATACCTCACAACAGACCTTTACTTGTAGGCTACGGCTGGAGTTGGAGTTCTATCCTTTCTGTAGTCGTCCATCAGGACTGCTCGTTTGTGGAACTATTTTATCAATTATGAACGTTTTTATAGTTCTTTGAAATATTTATTTTAAAAAAAACTTAATGTTTTGAATAAAAAAAATTACTTAAATTAGAATATTGTTAATTAAGAAATTGGAATTTGATTTTAAAAAATATTTTAATATTAAACATTATATTCATTAAGATGTATTTTACATTTGATATAAATTGTGTGTGTTTAGTTTTAAAATAGTATGTATATAATCAGTAGATTTACATCTAAAATATATTTAAGATATAAAACTAATAATGACATAATAAGATAACACAGAATTTTAAATAGTTCATATATTTATGATTTTGCTTATTCATTATATCATAAAATGGAGTAAATAAGGACAAAATTTAGAAAAATGTTTGAATTAATGGCTTTTACTTTCCTGGCTGTTATGTATGTATAACAAGAAAAGCTATTGAAATCATGTAACTTTCAATAACAACCTTTGAGTATTTTGAAAACCTCCATATTTTGAATCTTCCTGAACCAAAAACAGTAAAAAAAGGAAAAAATTATGTTGATATGTATGTATTTGTGTTGGCATCTAATTCATTTAATAAATCAGGATGGAGTAAAGATTTAACATAGTAACTTTTATATAGGGGGGATTGAAATTTTGGTGGTTAAAGGTCAAGGAAGTGGGGAGATGGAAGAGGATCATGTGCCATATCTCGAGAGAGTTTGGACTTAATGAAGATTTTACTTGTTATTAGCATTTACAATTTTTTAATAAAAATCTCTGACATTGCACTACGTGACGGTTGAGCGCTATCAAAAGTTAGATTATGTTAAGTTAGGCCAGGAACACACATGCATAAAATTGTGTGGCAGAAAACTGAATCAAATCGGCTTTCAGTTCAGTTTCTGTTTTATGCTTTCATGCCAGAACACACACACACACACACACAAAAATTCTGGCCAAATAGGAAACGCCACTGCCACTAATAGCACTACATTTTTATAATTTTTTTTTTCTCATATATCTATCCCTTTGTACCTTCCATTTTTTCTCCACTTCCTCTGCTATAATATAGAAAATTTAAATTAATAGACTTTATTCCATATTCAAATAAAGAATGTGTGATTTAAATACTAGACCTATATATCAAGTCTACTAGACCTACCTGTTATTTGTAATTTTGCACCTTTAGCCATCCATAAACATTGTTTAAATACAGTGGCTTTATACATGACACTGATGTGGTCAAACTGATTCAATGAACTCCTCTATTTCATTTATTTTTCGTTTTTTGGAGACTGTCACAATTGTAGGGTTAACCCTCATTGCCGCCATTGTTAGAATAAAAACCATGTGTCTACTTTGACGTCACAGAAAAGACCTCTTTATTGGAGGAATTTTGGCGTAAAAAGTAGAGACATACTCTACTCTATTTTTCAGTTCTGTTTCAGCCAAAATTTCAGAAAAATTTTTACGTTTTCTGTTTTATGCTAGATTTTAAGCCGAATTTTATGCATGTGTGTTCCTGGCCTTAGGGTAGGGTTCTGCCACCAGGTGTATTTTGTCAGAAACATTGCAGATTTTGACACAAACAGATAGTTAAGGCACGAGAGTAAGAGTCACTCCAAAGTCCAGGAAAGAGCCTCTCAGGAGGATGAATGTAGAGTCAAATACAAATAACAAGAGTTTATTATCGAAAATCAAGTTCTGGATAACATTCTTAAAATCCGATTCAAGAAATCTGCCTATTTCTATCTATAAAACGAGGGGACTGCCTAATAGGGGGTATTCGAACTACAACATACCAGGAAAAAGAGAGCCGTCTTCTCTTGTAGGGCAAGTCAGTCTCTTGATCTAGTTCCTTCTTCCCTTTTGCTTGGTCTTTCACTAGGTCCTTCACTAATGTCTGCTGGTAAATGATGTTCACTTCTAGTCGAAATTTCTTTGCGATTATGGCAGAATGGGTCCACTTATGTCTACTGTTGAAACCATCCCATACAAGGAAGACATTGATGTCTACAAACCATACAAGGAAGACATTGATGTCTTCCTTGTATGGTTTGTTGGGAGTCTAGCAAGGCTGGTGCTTTCTACCATTGTCTGCCGAGGAACTCCCTGATGTCTGGATTTTTGGCCTCTTTTATATACTTCTCAGCGCAGGAGAGTCATCATGTGATTTACTATTATTATTGGTTAGACTTTCGAGCTGAGTCATTGCCATAGCAAAACCGTTTTAACTCTTTATTAGCCATTGAGGCAGCATATATGGTCCCGTATACGATTGCCCAGTATGCCAGCCCACATATTTACAGACCAGCAGACCTGATGTCTCTGTAGGTGGATTGCAGGAGAATTGGACTCTGACCACATATGGATATTGTGTCTTTATTAATTAATATTAGTCTCTGTAGGAGCAGAATTGAACACTTTTTAAGAATCAAGAACTTTCAACAATCTCGAGAACAATGTGTGTTTAGTTTTAAAATAGTATGTATATAATCAGTAGATTTACATCTAAAATATATTTAAGATATAAAACTAATAATGACATAATAAGATAACACAGAATTTTAAATAGTTCATATATTTATGATTTTGCTTATTCATTATATCATAAAATGGAGTAAATAAGGACAAAATTTAGAAAAATGTTTGAATTAATGGCTTTTACTTTCCTGGCTGTTATGTATGTATAACAAGAAAAGCTATTGAAATCATGTAACTTTCAATAACAACCTTTGAGTATTTTGAAAACCTCCATATTTTGAATCTTCCTGAACCAAAAACAGTAAAAAAAGGAAAAAATTATGTTGATATGTATGTATTTGTGTTGGCATCTAATTCATTTAATAAATCAGGATGGAGTAAAGATTTAACATAGTAACTTTTATATAGGGGGGATTGAAATTTTGGTGGTTAAAGGTCAAGGAAGTGGGGAGATGGAAGAGGATCATGTGCCATATCTCGAGAGAGTTTGGACTTAATGAAGATTTTACTTGTTATTAGCATTTACAATTTTTTAATAAAAATCTCTGACATTGCACTACGTGACGGTTGAGCGCTATCAAAAGTTAGATTATGTTAAGTTAGGCCAGGAACACACATGCATAAAATTGTGTGGCAGAAAACTGAATCAAATCGGCTTTCAGTTCAGTTTCTGTTTTATGCTTTCATGCCAGAACACACACACACACACACACAAAAATTCTGGCCAAATAGGAAACGCCACTGCCACTAATAGCACTACATTTTTATAATTTTTTTTTTCTCATATATCTATCCCTTTGTACCTTCCATTTTTTCTCCACTTCCTCTGCTATAATATAGAAAATTTAAATTAATAGACTTTATTCCATATTCAAATAAAGAATGTGTGATTTAAATACTAGACCTATATATCAAGTCTACTAGACCTACCTGTTATTTGTAATTTTGCACCTTTAGCCATCCATAAACATTGTTTAAATACAGTGGCTTTATACATGACACTGATGTGGTCAAACTGATTCAATGAACTCCTCTATTTCATTTATTTTTCGTTTTTTGGAGACTGTCACAATTGTAGGGTTAACCCTCATTGCCGCCATTGTTAGAATAAAAACCATGTGTCTACTTTGACGTCACAGAAAAGACCTCTTTATTGGAGGAATTTTGGCGTAAAAAGTAGAGACATACTCTACTCTATTTTTCAGTTCTGTTTCAGCCAAAATTTCAGAAAAATTTTTACGTTTTCTGTTTTATGCTAGATTTTAAGCCGAATTTTATGCATGTGTGTTCCTGGCCTTAGGGTAGGGTTCTGCCACCAGGTGTATTTTGTCAGAAACATTGCAGATTTTGACACAAACAGATAGTTAAGGCACGAGAGTAAGAGTCACTCCAAAGTCCAGGAAAGAGCCTCTCAGGAGGATGAATGTAGAGTCAAATACAAATAACAAGAGTTTATTATCGAAAATCAAGTTCTGGATAACATTCTTAAAATCCGATTCAAGAAATCTGCCTATTTCTATCTATAAAACGAGGGGACTGCCTAATAGGGGGTATTCGAACTACAACATACCAGGAAAAAGAGAGCCGTCTTCTCTTGTAGGGCAAGTCAGTCTCTTGATCTAGTTCCTTCTTCCCTTTTGCTTGGTCTTTCACTAGGTCCTTCACTAATGTCTGCTGGTAAATGATGTTCACTTCTAGTCGAAATTTCTTTGCGATTATGGCAGAATGGGTCCACTTATGTCTACTGTTGAAACCATCCCATACAAGGAAGACATTGATGTCTACAAACCATACAAGGAAGACATTGATGTCTTCCTTGTATGGTTTGTTGGGAGTCTAGCAAGGCTGGTGCTTTCTACCATTGTCTGCCGAGGAACTCCCTGATGTCTGGATTTTTGGCCTCTTTTATATACTTCTCAGCGCAGGAGAGTCATCATGTGATTTACTATTATTATTGGTTAGACTTTCGAGCTGAGTCATTGCCATAGCAAAACCGTTTTAACTCTTTATTAGCCATTGAGGCAGCATATATGGTCCCGTATACGATTGCCCAGTATGCCAGCCCACATATTTACAGACCAGCAGACCTGATGTCTCTGTAGGTGGATTGCAGGAGAATTGGACTCTGACCACATATGGATATTGTGTCTTTATTAATTAATATTAGTCTCTGTAGGAGCAGAATTGAACACTTTTTAAGAATCAAGAACTTTCAACAATCTCGAGAACAAGCAATGAATGTAATTTGTGAAAACAATGAGAATAATGTCACACATGTTTGCCTTGCTCAGAGTAGTTAGTAATTAACTAGTATTCAAAAACAGCTTTATTAACATGTTGATAATTACATATTGATAATTTGAATATTAAAATTCCTGAAAAAGACAGACCACAGAATAACTTGGTCTCTGTATTATTGTCAATGTGATTAGAATTTGATATAAGAACCAGATACTAGTTTTGCAACTCAAATTGGCTTGTTTGTTGTTGTAAGAGCTCATATTGAAATACCTAGAACAAGTTCTTGGAAACAATGTGGAACTATTCTATTGCAAAAATTTCTATTTTTTTTTATTTGAACATTCCCATCTTTAGTTGGAATTATTAATTTGGATTAATCCTAGTAATAAAATTTCTTTACATATGTAAAAGTGATTTTACTATTTAAAAAGGAACATAACTATGTGACATTTATCTGATGTAGTTTAAAGGTAATAAAAAATGGAAGAAAAAAATTGCCAAAACCTGTTTAAAACAGAAAGCTGCCAAAATGAAAAAAAAATGGGAAATTCAGTATTTTGTGATTTAATTTTATTCAAGTTTTACTATATTTGCATTCATTAGAATCTTTATAAGATTTTAATATAATCTAAACTCTAATAATTTATTTTATATAATCTAAGAATAAAAAGTAAAAAAATCTATTTTTAATTAAAATTTTAAGGTGGGAACAGCTTCTTTGTCAAATACTTTATTGAAATATAGTGCCAAGGAATACTTCTTCTGTGCATCTCTCTGTCATATGTGTGTTGATTTGTTGAATGCTGAGGTAAATTATTTTAAGTAATTTTCTTTAGTAAAAATGTAGATAATTTAACATAACACATATTTTTCATTAGATATTGACTTGAGATATTGCATGTGTTTTAAAATGTTCTTAATTTATATTTTTATAGCATGCTATCAAAAAGTATGAAGAAATGAATCCGTCATTTGCTGATTCACGTGAATGCAAATTTGTAAAAGTAAGATGGTTACATTTATTAATTTTATATTATTTTTTATTTAAAAATCTATTATTGTAACATAGAATTAATGTAAATTTTTAATTAAAATATTGAATATGACATTTTGTGAATTAGTACACTCAGTAAGAATAAAGCTATACATTCAGATAAAATTATCTAATTACTGAGAAAACTCAGCATACAGATATGTAAATGATTATATTTCTGATCAAATTGAACATGGGTAATGCTACCAGAATGTCTTAAAATCATTGTCTCAGTATCTTATAAAAGGCTCACACTCTTTAGAATTATTAATGTGCCTGTTGTTTGGAGATCTTTCAACACATGGCATGTCTGTACAATGTAGTCAGAAACATTAAGCACAGCTCAGAATTTCAGAAATGCCACATTATTGGATTGAATAGGTTAAGATTTTGCTGAATTATCCATCATTTGGACTCTTCTGACTAAGATGATGATAGGGGTAGTGGATATGTGTGGATAAACACATGGCAGGCAGGTTCTAAATGCCCAGAGACCATCAGGAGAGATAATTATCTAATTGTAAGACAAATATAAATAGATTCAATCACCATCCAGACAGATGGAAGTCCTGTACTTCCTATATCATTGGTAGGTGACATGCAGAAACTAATTTGTCTGCATAGTGACTATTATACATCCTGTCATTAGCAGCTACAACAACATTGGCTTCAATTGCACTTGTCATGACAGAGAAATTAAGCATTTAGTGATTGGTAACATATTATCTCTAACAATGAATTCCAGTTCTGTTTGGGAATGGATGATTACTGTATTAGTGTAGAAGACCACAGGCAAGTTCTTCAATACTACTATTACTATTGAGCAGCACACTGCCCCCATTGCTGGCATGTTTGTCTGCAGAGCCATCTCATATGAGTAGTCAGTCATCCTTTAGTAGTGGTTTCAGGGAAATTGACAGCACAGTGGTAAGTTCAAGTAAGCCTGTGCCTTTGTATTGTCTTTGATGGCAGGACTGCAAACGACTAGAATTTCTCAAGAATATATCATATTACCATACTTTCGTGGCTTGCCCCGTCTTCATATTTGTTACCCATTGAGCATTTGTTGGATCAGATAGTATTCCAACTTTGGCTATGTAAGTGTGAGGAATATACAGACGCATTTGCAATATCTGTAGGCAAATTATTGCAGGATTGCATATGGTGCCTGTATGCCCAATCATGTTATATGTATCCAAACAAAAGGAAGTCCTATGCAGTAATAAAGGTTCACTTAAATTATACTATTGTTGTTTTGCTATGATATTGTGATCATTTATTTACCTTCATTATTAGATTCACAACTATAAAGTTTTATTTGCTTGCAATACCTCTTCCTTCGTACATAACTTTTTTGCCAATGAATATTTAATTTAAAATTTTTAATAATAGTTCAGTATTAAAAACTAAATTTATATTTATACAAATTAATTATTATACAGAGTTCCTACACACCTGGAAAGTCAGGGATTTTTATTAGTGTTTGGAAAAAGTCGTGGAAAGTCAGGGAATTTGTTAAAAATTGTCAAAAAGTCAGAGAATTTGTTTCCTTAGTTGCTGTGTTGATTTTGTTTGCTGACAGTATGGCTGACCAAATGTAGCTGTCTGAATGCAACAAAAAGTATTGTGGTATAATGCAACTTGTGAAAAGGGGGTGCAGAATATTTTTAGGATCCAAAATTTCACCCAAACATACACAAAATTTTCCCAAAATTATAGCAAACAAAATATACAAGCATACAACAATATCAATTGTTATTTTTAAAACTGCTGTATTAATTATGCAGTATTATAAGTTTGAGAGAAAAATCTAATACTCTTAATAATCTAATGTTGGTAGAAAGTTAAAATATTTCAAAAGTTTTTATCTCACACAATTTACACATTCAATTTGAGGGCAGGTGTTAATGAAGTGATAAAAAAAATGATAACAAAGAACCAAAAATGATAAATAATTTAATATTAATTCAAATGGTATTATTTATCATTTTTCATTTTAATAATTTTGATTGCATAACGAAACAATTTCTGATTTCTGAAACTTTTTCCCAGTTTATTAATATTTTTGGAAAATTTATTAAGGGACAAATTTAATAAATTTATACTTTTGTACATGGATTATACAGAATTTGTTAATAATAATTAATGGCTTTTTTTCAAAGCCGTGAAGTTACAGTTATGAGTTAGTAACAGAATAAATTATTTTTACTTAATAAAACATTTCAATTTTATGTGAGAAGACATGCCATAATTCTATCTTATTTTATTTTTAATTTTACTAATTCATCAATTATAAAAAGTAACCAGTTAAAAAGTTGGAGAAACAATAGTGTATATGCAAAGTAAGTCAAGTGATGTTTTATTTTATTAATATGCCATACTGTAAGGGATGTGAGGGTCATGGAATTTAAAACAAAAATTTGAGTAGGAACCCTGCAAATAGTAATTGAAATATTTATGTTAGAGCAATTAATTTTTATAAGTTGTAATGTAATTCTGTATACATCATAAAAATTAACACAGGATATAATAATAAATTTCATATAGGAGTATTTTATAAACTGAAAACAAAGACTTTCATAATTTAGAAATCCAAATAAAAATAATATTCAGCTTATTCAAATATTCCAAACATTTTCAGTTTAGCAACAACTCATCCATTTTTCATTGACATGTCATTTTAAGAAATAAAATAAAAATTACACATGTACTGTGTTTTGGATTCTGGTATTAATGTATCAAATGTTCTAGGATTAATGTAGAACTGTTTGAACAATTTCCTATTTATACTTTGAATGAATGGTTTTAGGTTAATGATTCAACTTAAAAATCTATTTATAAAAATGATATTTTGCCAAACTAGCCAATACCAATAATACACATTAATGTTCATTTCATTTTATTTACTAGCTTAATAACAAATTGATTTCAATCTATGAATACTACTGCTTTTAAAGTTTGATGTTAGTGACAAAAATCTTTACATTTCAATCACATGTTCGTAGACAACCATAAAAATAATTTAGTTTTATTTTTACGGTACTTTTATCACACAACAGAATTTTTCGATTATTAATAATTTCAAAATATGCTAAACCTTCATTTTTGTATTATTAAATAACAAAAAGTAAATATTTACAAAATATATCATTATGACTATTTAATGTTTTGAATGCTTCATATTTTTAAAATTTATTATAATATTTTATTTATCATTAAGCCAGATTCAAGATTCTAGATTACAAAGAATATTAATTAAATATATAAATTTCATTTATATTAATCATAAAATTATATTTAAAATTTCAGACTTTATTAGGAAAAATGGAAGAACAGGATATCGATGGATTTACAGATGCCATTAAGGAATACGATTCTATTTCTCGCCTGGATCAGTGGTACACCAACATTCTCCTTCGGATCAAAAAGTCTATAGTAGATGCACCCGATCTCTGCTGAAAAAGTAACTCTTGTCAGTCTTTTGAGATTACTTAAAATATTTCTGTATAATATTGTGTTGTGTAATATGTTTTAGATAAATCTATATGTATATATGTACTTTAAAACATATTTTCTTCCTTTAAAAATAGCTTTTTGGTAGCTTGAAACAAGAAGCAAAATTATTTTTATTTCACATTGTATAAAATGCTATTGAAAAAATCACATCTGTAATACATTCCTTACGTTAGTTTTCAAAAGTATTAGTTTATTTAATATATTTTACGTTAATATTTTTGAAAATGATAATTTTGAGAAATTTATATACTGTATATATTAGTTATTTAATTAAATAAGATTTTATTTAAGGTATTTTATGTTCACTATTATTTAAATTAAACAAAAGTAATATTCTGATTACTTTTATATATTTATCTTCAATATTAAATTTACATGATTTGAATATTTTATTTTAAATTATTTCAATATTTTATTCTGAAATCTTTCACTTTGCAATTTAATGATAGAAAATTTTAATATATAAATATATTTAAAAAAAAAGTGTAAAACAGGAATACCTTTCTAAAGAGAATTAATACTTCACTACATTAGAAAATATTGGCTAAAATTGCATTTATTTATTACAATAATAATTTACTTGCATTCAGAATCTGTACAGAGTTCACAATTTTTGTTTTCTTTACTGTATATATACTTAAATAACATAAAAATGTGATACTTTATAGTATTGTTTTTACAATTATACAAAATATTTTTGTCATTTAATATATAATTAATAGTTATTTGGCATCCAGGATCATTTCATAAAAATTAAAAGTTAATATGAAAAAATATTCTAGTCACAAAAAATTGTGATTCAGTATGCATTATAATGCTGTATCAAATGAAATTATTTACCAAGTATAAGATTTTTCATATTAATTTAATAATTTTTTTTTATACTTAATGTTAAATATTAAACATTCCAATGCCTTCAATGGTTTTTCTTCTATTGTAATACTATAAATGAACTTTCTGTCAATGTTAAAATTTAAATTGTTTCAGATTTTCTGTTTAGAATATTTCTATCATTTTTGTATTATTTTCTGCAATAGTTGATTGTAATCTAATAAAATATTCTTTAACTTTATATTGTGTGTGAATTATTTTTAGTTGGATAAAGACACAAAATTCTTTTAAAGTATAATTCTATTTTGAGTGATGATTTAATAACTTTTACAGGAGTAACAATACATTTCAAAGCATAATTGTATTGTGCTGTAATTTCTCTAACGGTGTAATATGTATATTGTCTATACACATTAGATGTAAGTACCAATACATAGAAATATGTAAGTACCAATACAGCATAGAAATAGTATAAGTGAGTTATAGTAGCCAGTTTATCTAGTACAGTTTAAACATGTATATACAACACAGTTTCGGTATATTATGAAATAATGATGTAATTCAATACATTTGTATGTATGTGTGTATGAATACAAGATATAATAAACACCTATTTTAGTTGAACTCAATGAAAACTCAAGTTTATTCATTAATTCGAGTCAAAAATTTCATACCTTAGTGTTTAGTTTAGTGATCACACCAATTTCAGAATAAATTCTTCATATAGTAAAGAAATCCAAATACATGTGTTTGTGTCTCATGATATGGAATTGAACTGGATTTTTTCTTGTTTTGTCACACGAGAAACGGTAATATATATTTACTGGGATATCTTGAGTAGGAAATTGACTCGATTTATTTTGCATCTTTCCTCATTAATAATATCAATAATATTTCATGGCAGATGCGATGACATTTCTCACGTGAATTTATTCATTGCCTCGTTCGTTTGGCATATAATTAAGGAGACGTCTATTAATTTATTGTGCAGTATAAAGGAGAGGTGGTTGCGAAAAATACATAATTGGATTGTACACGGTGAGGATTTTCATAAATGAAGCGAGTAACATCACAAGCTCATCAGTGGTGCCTTGTCATAAAAAATATTGGCGAGATGGTATTTGTAGTGGTGACTTTCTATAGAGAAGAGAGATGGCGAATCGAAATGAGGAAAGCTCTTTCCTAAACAGTGTGGATGACATTACAAGCCATCCACTAAGCTGGTGAGTTTAGGAAAATCATTGTGTACGGTGGACATTTTTTACTTGTATTAGTAGCGTTTGTTCCTTCAAGTCGGTTTATTTACAGGATAAGTAAGTAATCAGAAAATATTTGCAGAACTTGTTATTCATTTCTTCAATGTCGAGGTTTCGTACATACGTATTTAAGGGGAAGGGTTTGTACACAACTGTAGGAGGGAATCGAAAGTGGCTCAAAAAACTACCAAGTAATTAGTGTCTTGTTTTGCAAAAGAATGTGCTATTGAGTATAATTTTAAAAGATTTTTGTAAGCGATACAAAGATTTTTAACATTTCAACATCTAATAATGTTTAACAAATGAATTTATCATTATTTATTTTAATATTTTAACCATAATACTTATATAAAAACTTATATTTCACTTTTTTTTTTTGAGATCCACTTCAGACCCTGGGACAAAGTTCTTTAAATTATACAGAAAATAAGAAGAAATATCAGTAATTAGTAGTGGAATGAAACCTTTAAATGGCCAGACCCAGGGTATGTCCATGCATTAATAATTTAATGATAGGGTCCTACACTAATCATCAAACAATGTGGACAGCAATGTTTTGTTATAATGAATACAAGAAGAATGTCCAGATCCAAAGATAAATTATAATTTTCTATATGTAAAATTAGAGTAACTTAAAACAGAATTGAGAATTGGAGACGTGTAAGTTTATTAATTGAATATATTTTATTGAAATATAGAAATAAAAAAAAACTAATATAATAAAACGCGTTTTACACATCGAAAGAAATTCTATATTTTATTTCAATAATTTTACCTATTGTAATTGTATATAAAACTTAAACAAAGCTAGAGAAAATGTAGGCTACACCTTAATATAGAATTACACACTTTACATTTGAAAGAAATCTTTTCTTTGTATGTTAAATGTTATATATTGAATAATCGAACTATTGATATTTTTGTCAACTTTTATGTACTGTAAATCGTATAATCCTTATAAAAAGAATTGAAAAAAAAAATACTCTGATTTTTCTTTTTCTTCCACATTTTCTTCTGTTGGATCGAGGTCACTCCTGCTTTTTTTCTTTCGAACAAAGAGTCACAGTCTGACAAAGAACCACTTTTTGATTCAGTTGAACAGACACAAAACAAGAATTTAAAGTCTCATATGTAATTCTAAACAATGTTTTTTTTTCTCTAATCCTTTTCTTACTCTTAAATAATTAAAATTATTTACCGGGTTCTTAAATATCTACTTTTATTTATTGACATCTTCAGTTATTATTTGAATATTATGTAGAGATAATGGAAAAGTTTTATCACTTATAAATAAACAAGGAGAGAAACTAGTTTAAAAAGTGTAAGTCCTCATATTAAAAGAACTAATTTGTATAATTTCCTCTTTATTATAATACCACAAATTAAATTTTAAAATATATATAATTTATTCTATGCAGAATGTTTTAAATTAAAAAAAAAATTTTTTTTATTTAATTATAATTCATTCAATTGCATTTATTCAGACTTCCTCATCAGAAAATTGAAGGCCTTGAAGGCTGTTTCTATATGTATTGTTAAGAGTCTATAAACTTTTTTTTTTTAAATATATATATTTATATTGCTGATTATTAATTCTATAATGTTTCGATTTAATATTTCCTACACATTCTAGTTTTAAANGAATCTTTATAAGATTTTAATATAATCTAAACTCTAATAATTTATTTTATATAATCTAAGAATAAAAAGTAAAAAAATCTATTTTTAATTAAAATTTTAAGGTGGGAACAGCTTCTTTGTCAAATACTTTATTGAAATATAGTGCCAAGGAATACTTCTTCTGTGCATCTCTCTGTCATATGTGTGTTGATTTGTTGAATGCTGAGGTAAATTATTTTAAGTAATTTTCTTTAGTAAAAATGTAGATAATTTAACATAACACATATTTTTCATTAGATATTGACTTGAGATATTGCATGTGTTTTAAAATGTTCTTAATTTATATTTTTATAGCATGCTATCAAAAAGTATGAAGAAATGAATCCGTCATTTGCTGATTCACGTGAATGCAAATTTGTAAAAGTAAGATGGTTACATTTATTAATTTTATATTATTTTTTATTTAAAAATCTATTATTGTAACATAGAATTAATGTAAATTTTTAATTAAAATATTGAATATGACATTTTGTGAATTAGTACACTCAGTAAGAATAAAGCTATACATTCAGATAAAATTATCTAATTACTGAGAAAACTCAGCATACAGATATGTAAATGATTATATTTCTGATCAAATTGAACATGGGTAATGCTACCAGAATGTCTTAAAATCATTGTCTCAGCATCTTATAAAAGGCTCACACTCTTTAGAATTATTAATGTGCCTGTTGTTTGGAGATCTTTCAACACATGGCATGTCTGTACAATGTAGTCAGAAACATTAAGCACAGCTCAGAATTTCAGAAATGCCACATTATTGGATTGAATAGGTTAAGATTTTGCTGAATTATCCACCATTTGGACTCTTCTGACTAAGATGATGATAGGGGTAGTGGATATGTGTGGATAAACACATGGCAGGCAGGTTCTAAATGCCCAGAGACCATCAGGAGAGATAATTATCTAATTGTAAGACAAATATAAATAGATTCAATCACCATCCAGACAGATGGAAGTCCTGTACTTCCTATATCATTGGTAGGTGACAAGCAGAAACTAATTTGTCTGCATAGTGACTATTATACATCCTGTCATTAGCAGCTACAACAACATTGGCTTCAATTGCACTTGTCATGACAGAGAAATTAAGCATTTAGTGATTGGTAACATATTATCTCTAACAATGAATTCCAGTTCTGTTTGGGAATGGATGATTACTGTATTAGTGTAGAAGACCACAGGCAAGTTCTTCAATACTACTATTACTATTGAGCAGCACACTGCCCCCATTGCTGGCATGTTTGTCTGCAGAGCCATCTCATATGAGTAGTCAGTCATCCTTTAGTAGTGGTTTCAGGGAAATTGACAGCACAGTGGTAAGTTCAAGTAAGCCTGTGCCTTTGTATTGTCTTTGATGGCAGGACTGCAAACGACTAGAATTTCTCAAGAATATATCATATTACCATACTTTCGTGGCTTGCCCCGTCTTCATATTTGTTACCCATTGAGCATTTGTTGGATCAGATAGTATTCCAACTTTGGCTATGTAAGTGTGAGGAATATACAGACGCATTTGCAATATCTGTAGGCAAATTATTGCAGGATTGCATATGGTGCCTGTATGCCCAATCATGTTATATGTATCCAAACAAAAGGAAGTCCTATGCAGTAATAAAGGTTCACTTAAATTATACTATTGTTGTTTTGCTATGATATTGTGATCATTTATTTACCTTCATTATTAGATTCACAACTATAAAGTTTTATTTGCTTGCAATACCTCTTCCTTCGTACATAACTTTTTTGCCAATGAATATTTAATTTAAAATTTTTAATAATAGTTCAGTATTAAAAACTAAATTTATATTTATACAAATTAATTATTATACAGAGTTCCTACACACCTGGAAAGTCAGGGATTTTTATTAGTGTTTGGAAAAAGTCGTGGAAAGTCAGGGAATTTGTTAAAAATTGTCAAAAAGTCAGAGAATTTGTTTCCTTAGTTGCTGTGTTGATTTTGTTTGCTGACAGTATGGCTGACCAAATGTAGCTGTCTGAATGCAACAAAAAGTATTGTGGTATAATGCAACTTGTGAAAAGGGGGTGCAGAATATTTTTAGGATCCAAAATTTCACCCAAACATACACAAAATTTTCCCAAAATTATAGCAAACAAAATATACAAGCATACAACAATATCAATTGTTATTTTTAAAACTGCTGTATTAATTATGCAGTATTATAAGTTTGAGAGAAAAATCTAATACTCTTAATAATCTAATGTTGGTAGAAAGTTAAAATATTTCAAAAGTTTTTATCTCACACAATTTACACATTCAATTTGAGGGCAGGTGTTAATGAAGTGATAAAAAAAATGATAACAAAGAACCAAAAATGATAAATAATTTAATATTAATTCAAATGGTATTATTTATCATTTTTCATTTTAATAATTTTGATTGCATAACGAAACAATTTCTGATTTCTGAAACTTTTTCCCAGTTTATTAATATTTTTGGAAAATTTATTAAGGGACAAATTTAATAAATTTATACTTTTGTACATGGATTATACAGAATTTGTTAATAATAATTAATGGCTTTTTTTCAAAGCCGTGAAGTTACAGTTATGAGTTAGTAACAGAATAAATTATTTTTACTTAATAAAACATTTCAATTTTATGTGAGAAGACATGCCATAATTCTATCTTATTTTATTTTTAATTTTACTAATTCATCAATTATAAAAAGTAACCAGTTAAAAAGTTGGAGAAACAATAGTGTATATGCAAAGTAAGTCAAGTGATGTTTTATTTTATTAATATGCCATACTGTAAGGGATGTGAGGGTCATGGAATTTAAAACAAAAATTTGAGTAGGAACCCTGCAAATAGTAATTGAAATATTTATGTTAGAGCAATTAATTTTTATAAGTTGTAATGTAATTCTGTATACATCATAAAAATTAACACAGGATATAATAATAAATTTCATATAGGAGTATTTTATAAACTGAAAACAAAGACTTTCATAATTTAGAAATCCAAATAAAAATAATATTCAGCTTATTCAAATATTCCAAACATTTTCAGTTTAGCAACAACTCATCCATTTTTCATTGACATGTCATTTTAAGAAATAAAATAAAAATTACACATGTACTGTGTTTTGGATTCTGGTATTAATGTATCAAATGTTCTAGGATTAATGTAGAACTGTTTGAACAATTTCCTATTTATACTTTGAATGAATGGTTTTAGGTTAATGATTCAACTTAAAAATCTATTTATAAAAATGATATTTTGCCAAACTAGCCAATACCAATAATACACATTAATGTTCATTTCATTTTATTTACTAGCTTAATAACAAATTGATTTCAATCTATGAATACTACTGCTTTTAAAGTTTGATGTTAGTGACAAAAATCTTTACATTTCAATCACATGTTCGTAGACAACCATAAAAATAATTTAGTTTTATTTTTACGGTACTTTTATCACACAACAGAATTTTTCGATTATTAATAATTTCAAAATATGCTAAACCTTCATTTTTGTATTATTAAATAACAAAAAGTAAATATTTACAAAATATATCATTATGACTATTTAATGTTTTGAATGCTTCATATTTTTAAAATTTATTATAATATTTTATTTATCATTAAGCCAGATTCAAGATTCTAGATTACAAAGAATATTAATTAAATATATAAATTTCATTTATATTAATCATAAAATTATATTTAAAATTTCAGACTTTATTAGGAAAAATGGAAGAACAGGATATCGATGGATTTACAGATGCCATTAAGGAATACGATTCTATTTCTCGCCTGGATCAGTGGTACACCAACATTCTCCTTCGGATCAAAAAGTCTATAGTAGATGCACCCGATCTCTGCTGAAAAAGTAACTCTTGTCAGTCTTTTGAGATTACTTAAAATATTTCTGTATAATATTGTGTTGTGTAATATGTTTTAGATAAATCTATATGTATATATGTACTTTAAAACATATTTTCTTCCTTTAAAAATAGCTTTTTGGTAGCTTGAAACAAGAAGCAAAATTATTTTTATTTCACATTGTATAAAATGCTATTGAAAAAATCACATCTGTAATACATTCCTTACGTTAGTTTTCAAAAGTATTAGTTTATTTAATATATTTTACGTTAATATTTTTGAAAATGATAATTTTGAGAAATTTATATACTGTATATATTAGTTATTTAATTAAATAAGATTTTATTTAAGGTATTTTATGTTCACTATTATTTAAATTAAACAAAAGTAATATTCTGATTACTTTTATATATTTATCTTCAATATTAAATTTACATGATTTGAATATTTTATTTTAAATTATTTCAATATTTTATTCTGAAATCTTTCACTTTGCAATTTAATGATAGAAAATTTTAATATATAAATATATTTAAAAAAAAAGTGTAAAACAGGAATACCTTTCTAAAGAGAATTAATACTTCACTACATTAGAAAATATTGGCTAAAATTGCATTTATTTATTACAATAATAATTTACTTGCATTCAGAATCTGTACAGAGTTCACAATTTTTGTTTTCTTTACTGTATATATACTTAAATAACATAAAAATGTGATACTTTATAGTATTGTTTTTACAATTATACAAAATATTTTTGTCATTTAATATATAATTAATAGTTATTTGGCATCCAGGATCATTTCATAAAAATTAAAAGTTAATATGAAAAAATATTCTAGTCACAAAAAATTGTGATTCAGTATGCATTATAATGCTGTATCAAATGAAATTATTTACCAAGTATAAGATTTTTCATATTAATTTAATAATTTTTTTTTATACTTAATGTTAAATATTAAACATTCCAATGCCTTCAATGGTTTTTCTTCTATTGTAATACTATAAATGAACTTTCTGTCAATGTTAAAATTTAAATTGTTTCAGATTTTCTGTTTAGAATATTTCTATCATTTTTGTATTATTTTCTGCAATAGTTGATTGTAATCTAATAAAATATTCTTTAACTTTATATTGTGTGTGAATTATTTTTAGTTGGATAAAGACACAAAATTCTTTTAAAGTATAATTCTATTTTGAGTGATGATTTAATAACTTTTACAGGAGTAACAATACATTTCAAAGCATAATTGTATTGTGCTGTAATTTCTCTAACGGTGTAATATGTATATTGTCTATACACATTAGATGTAAGTACCAATACATAGAAATATGTAAGTACCAATACAGCATAGAAATAGTATAAGTGAGTTATAGTAGCCAGTTTATCTAGTACAGTTTAAACATGTATATACAACACAGTTTCGGTATATTATGAAATAATGATGTAATTCAATACATTTGTATGTATGTGTGTATGAATACAAGATATAATAAACACCTATTTTAGTTGAACTCAATGAAAACTCAAGTTTATTCATTAATTCGAGTCAAAAATTTCATACCTTAGTGTTTAGTTTAGTGATCACACCAATTTCAGAATAAATTCTTCATATAGTAAAGAAATCCAAATACATGTGTTTGTGTCTCATGATATGGAATTGAACTGGATTTTTTCTTGTTTTGTCACACGAGAAACGGTAATATATATTTACTGGGATATCTTGAGTAGGAAATTGACTCGATTTATTTTGCATCTTTCCTCATTAATAATATCAATAATATTTCATGGCAGATGCGATGACATTTCTCACGTGAATTTATTCATTGCCTCGTTCGTTTGGCATATAATTAAGGAGACGTCTATTAATTTATTGTGCAGTATAAAGGAGAGGTGGTTGCGAAAAATACATAATTGGATTGTACACGGTGAGGATTTTCATAAATGAAGCGAGTAACATCACAAGCTCATCAGTGGTGCCTTGTCATAAAAAATATTGGCGAGATGGTATTTGTAGTGGTGACTTTCTATAGAGAAGAGAGATGGCGAATCGAAATGAGGAAAGCTCTTTCCTAAACAGTGTGGATGACATTACAAGCCATCCACTAAGCTGGTGAGTTTAGGAAAATCATTGTGTACGGTGGACATTTTTTACTTGTATTAGTAGCGTTTGTTCCTTCAAGTCGGTTTATTTACAGGATAAGTAAGTAATCAGAAAATATTTGCAGAACTTGTTATTCATTTCTTCAATGTCGAGGTTTCGTACATACGTATTTAAGGGGAAGGGTTTGTACACAACTGTAGGAGGGAATCGAAAGTGGCTCAAAAAACTACCAAGTAATTAGTGTCTTGTTTTGCAAAAGAATGTGCTATTGAGTATAATTTTAAAAGATTTTTGTAAGCGATACAAAGATTTTTAACATTTCAACATCTAATAATGTTTAACAAATGAATTTATCATTATTTATTTTAATATTTTAACCATAATACTTATATAAAAACTTATATTTCACTTTTTTTTTTGAGATCCACTTCAGACCCTGGGACAAAGTTCTTTAAATTATACAGAAAATAAGAAGAAATATCAGTAATTAGTAGTGGAATGAAACCTTTAAATGGCCAGACCCAGGGTATGTCCATGCATTAATAATTTAATGATAGGGTCCTACACTAATCATCAAACAATGTGGACAGCAATGTTTTGTTATAATGAATACAAGAAGAATGTCCAGATCCAAAGATAAATTATAATTTTCTATATGTAAAATTAGAGTAACTTAAAACAGAATTGAGAATTGGAGACGTGTAAGTTTATTAATTGAATATATTTTATTGAAATATAGAAATAAAAAAAAACTAATATAATAAAACGCGTTTTACACATCGAAAGAAATTCTATATTTTATTTCAATAATTTTACCTATTGTAATTGTATATAAAACTTAAACAAAGCTAGAGAAAATGTAGGCTACACCTTAATATAGAATTACACACTTTACATTTGAAAGAAATCTTTTCTTTGTATGTTAAATGTTATATATTGAATAATCGAACTATTGATATTTTTGTCAACTTTTATGTACTGTAAATCGTATAATCCTTATAAAAAGAATTGAAAAAAAAAATACTCTGATTTTTCTTTTTCTTCCACATTTTCTTCTGTTGGATCGAGGTCACTCCTGCTTTTTTTCTTTCGAACAAAGAGTCACAGTCTGACAAAGAACCACTTTTTGATTCAGTTGAACAGACACAAAACAAGAATTTAAAGTCTCATATGTAATTCTAAACAATGTTTTTTTTTCTCTAATCCTTTTCTTACTCTTAAATAATTAAAATTATTTACCGGGTTCTTAAATATCTACTTTTATTTATTGACATCTTCAGTTATTATTTGAATATTATGTAGAGATAATGGAAAAGTTTTATCACTTATAAATAAACAAGGAGAGAAACTAGTTTAAAAAGTGTAAGTCCTCATATTAAAAGAACTAATTTGTATAATTTCCTCTTTATTATAATACCACAAATTAAATTTTAAAATATATATAATTTATTCTATGCAGAATGTTTTAAATTAAAAAAAAAATTTTTTTTATTTAATTATAATTCATTCAATTGCATTTATTCAGACTTCCTCATCAGAAAATTGAAGGCCTTGAAGGCTGTTTCTATATGTATTGTTAAGAGTCTATAAACTTTTTTTTTTTAAATATATATATTTATATTGCTGATTATTAATTCTATAATGTTTCGATTTAATATTTCCTACACATTCTAGTTTTAAATAGAATTAATCTATTTTAAAAATTGATATGAAAATAGGTCGGAAAAATTGAAGATTATTTTAGCAATTTGATGATAACAGGAGTATCCTTCGCTTTATTTTATTGCTTACATTTTAATATAAATCTGATATAAATAGAATTTATTTCTTCAAATTTTTCTATAATTTTCCTTAGATTTAGGATTAATTAAGGTTCCTTTCTAAAACCATTCTGAGATTAGCAAAATAATAGAATCCCTTTTCTTAATTTCAAAATGGCTGAGGAAAGGATGGATCTTATAATTCATCCTTCCTTTCGATGGCCTTAGAAAATTATGTAGATGAAAAGTAAAGTGTAGGCCTATGAATTAATTTCTATCGCTTTGTAAGATGATTTTCTCCTTTCATAAGTTATAAAGAAAGGGAGAATCTTACAAAGAGGAGAATGAAGTGGCATCTTCGAAATTAAAAGCGAATTCCCTCATTTAAAAAAGGTATTTTCAGGAAAAAAAAATTTGCTATAATTAGAAGTAAACTTCGAATTTTAGACATATTTTTTTCACAAGTTTCCGTACTTAATTTTAAGTCTTAAACTTGAAGTAAAATAGGGATAATGAATAAGGAAGAGGAGGAAAATGAGGAGAGAACTCTTCGGGTTTGAAGAGTCTTTGCTATTGCTATTCCTCTCCCATATTTGCTTTACTCGAAGAAAAGCTATTTCATTACAAGTAACATTTCTATATAAGAATGTGAAGAAACGAAATGTATGAAATTTTGAGTGAAAATGAAAATTAATAAAAAAAAACTATTTATTTATTTATCCACGAGATGGCACCACTAATACAAAACCTGGTTATTGTCACTATTATGATAATGAGTATTTCCGTTGAAAAAAATGCACACACATAATAACATAAAAATCTTAATTTTTTAAAATTAATATTAAAAAAAATAATAATTAACTCTTTTCATAATTTTTTGGTAATTTGTAAAGGCAGGATACGAAGAATTTCTTATAGGGATTAACCAAATGAGGTATGTATATGAGGTCTTATCAACCCCTAAAGGATAAAAACGTGTATCAAATTATATTAAATAGAAGAAAATTTACAGAGAAATATCGAAAAGATTCATATTTAACAGTGTATTTCCGGAGATATTGTCTTTGTTGTAAAATGACTGTCTTCTAGACGTTAAAAATGATTTATTATTGTTGTTGTTCTCTTCCCCGAAGTTATATTTGTAATAATGATGATGTTCTGTCTTTAGAAATAGAAAAAAAATTACAATAAGTTATTAGTGTTACAGTGTAATCTTATCTGGAAATGAGAGGTAAAACGTTGCTGCTACTGTTGTTGTTGTTGTTGTTGTTGTTGTTGTTGTTGCTTTGCCTTCCGTGTTGTTGTTGTTGCCATTGTTATTCTACGTTGTAAGACGAGATATTAAATGTTGTCATTGTCTAACTACACGGACAACAAATAATAACAACATTTAATTTATCTCTAGTATTAAGGAAGTGGAACATTGCCCATTGTGTGAGATACGAGGCGAAATAATGAAGTGTGA